TTGTCATCTCGGTTGTTCTAATTCTTATTACTTCCACTTATATTTATTGTATTAGAAAACAACACTCTTCAAATTTTAGTTATAAATTCTTCGTTTATTTATCAATTTGTATAATTTATTCGGTTCTCCTTTCTCCTACATTCAGCTAGAAGCAAAAATACATTTGCATTAGAAATCAACTTCTAAAAATAAGGGTTTTCCCTTCCAAAATTTCATAACAGATGTATTACTGCAGAAAAGTCTTGTTTTTGGTATCATGAATCATCGCAGATGACGTTCATCGTTTTCCTGTTTTCCGGCCATGAATCAAAAATTTATTAACGAATCGTAGAGGTGTGAAGTATGTTTATTCGGATTCAATTCCACTGCAGTAAACTTCGTCTTTGTTTTCCATTGTTTACGTAGAACATTCTACGTAGAACTTCTGGTTGAAGCAGTAAACAGTTTGCTTTTGATTACTGAAACGGATCGCATCCGGATGCATGGTTTCCGATATTATACTACTCCCTGTGACTGATGGCGTTTCAACTTAGTGATTTGTAAAGTTTCGTGATAAGGATTCTGGGACAACTTCGGCAATCAATATTTTGATGGTCTCGCTGTAGTTTGATGTGGACTCCAGGATGTGACACCCTAGTTGTAAGTATAGTTGCAAATCTCATCAAATAATTATTCAAATGAGTTTTCTTTAAATTATTTTATTATTTAACTATAAAATAATTCTTTATTTTATTTTTTACTTGAATAAATTGATTTTAAAATATAGTTGTTTCTTTTTTTTTTTAAGTTAAAATTAAAACTTTGATGACTTTATTCGATACCATTCTCTTTTGTTAAATTTTTCATAATTTTTCAAAGCGGAAGATTCTGTATAACCAGCCAATGGTCATACTACTTAGGCTCTAAAAAAGAAATTTTCTGTTTTGTTAATTCCTACATTCATGAACAGATCACACTAGCAGTTCTTGTCGTTCCAGAGTTTCTTTATCATTTTCTGGTCACATACTGCTGTATCAACTGAGAGTGGTATTATGTCACAGTGCTGTTGGTGGTAGGAATTATAATACAATTGAAAGTATTTCTTTAGTGACTTCTTGTCAACAAGGTAAAACAGACCAGAAATTTAGTTTCTCGTTCATTCTGTAGGGCGCAATTCGTTCGTTTGATTAATAAACAATTGTAAAATTAAAAATAATAATTAAATAATTTTTAATAGAATAATTAAACACAATTTTGCAATATACCCACGCGGAAATATAAAGAAATAAACAATTTAATTAGATATAACAATAATTTGATTAATAAATAATTGTAAAATATAAACTAATAATTAAACAAATATTAACAAATATCAGATAGAAATAGTTAAATCTGCGGAACCGGTGAAACGGAACGTCATGCTTGACTGGGCGCGTCGCGCGCCGGTACAACGGCGACCTGGAGGAAGGTCAAATCTAGTCAGTCTTATCGCGACCGCCGAAGGATACGGATGGAACTGCCAAACATATACCGGTACGGGTTGACACTATGGATATTCGTGCATGGATTTATTACTGTGTTATCACAAGTGTTTCTATGTGTGCCTATGGTGTTTCCTATAGTGTTTCCCATGTGTTTTGGAATATTTATACGGATATATTAGTGCGTCTTATGGTGTGCTCACCCATGTGTTCTGACATTTTTATACAAGTGCATTAGTGTGCTGTGTGGTGTGGTACCCCATGTACCTGCATGTGCTTTATTGTGTTTTATGGTGTGGTTTCCTTTGTGCTTTAGCATATATTTACGGATTTATTAGTGGGTTTTATGGAGTGGTACCCTATGTGTTTTGGCATATTTATACGGATTTATTAGTGGGTTTTATGGAGTAGTACCCTATGTGTTTTGGCATATTTATACGGATTTATTAGTAGGTTTTATGGATTGATACCCTATGTGTTTTACTATAATTTTGCAAATATTTTATAGTGTTCTATGGTTTTGATCTTCGAGTGTTTTGGGATGTATTTGCATGTGTTTTACCGTGTTTTATGGTGTAGTTATTCCCATATAGTTTTGCATGCATATTTTTGAATTATCCTATATATTAGCATATTAACTACAACAAATTGGGAGAAAACATATATCGTTCAAGAATCGTGATTTTTATGCTTTCAGATGAGTGTTTTGGCCAGTGGGGATACCGTTTCTTTGACGAGCCAACAGACAAGCTATGATGCGTGGCGAGTGCAGTGGTGCAAGTCAACGATCGGTGAGTCGCATGCTTTAAAGTTCCTCCGGTTCCCATCATGTCGTAGGACGAATGGTCCGTAGCGACACGGGAATTGGTTGTAATTTTTATTTTTTGAGCGAGCATAGTGACCCACGAATATCACTGTATCATTTTATACAATGATAATCGTGCAAATTGCTTTTTTGTGTATTTTATGCCTTAGCTCAGGATAGGGTTTTCTTGTACATATTTACATATATAGATTTTGAGTTTAAAAATGTAGAGAAGTCGGATGACCCTCCGACTTCACAATACACTTTCTTTTTTATATGTACAAGAATTTATTTCGCGATGAGCGGATTTCAATATCAAAGTAATAAGCATGACTACTATTAATTATTATAACTACTTACTTTGATAACGAAATCGCTCTTGAAATTGAAACTTTTTTCCGATTTTACTCGTGAAATTGGCATCAGTTTAGTATATGGGCTGGCCCCCAGGGGGGTTGGTATTTGCTCTTCAAGCATTGTATAAAGTTCCCCTTTCGTACTTGAACCCTTTCTACAAGAGAAAACCATTTTCTTTTTCTGACGGCATACCTGGTACAGGCACGGCCAGAAACACAGAAATTCGGACCCAAAGTTGCACGGAGTGTTGTACAACTTTATCGCATAGTCTGAACGCGGCCTTAGCGGCAGTGTCGGTCGCCGTGGGGTTTTAGTCAGTAAGAATCTGACACTCCCCCGCCGCCCTCCCCCAGGGGACGGTGGGGGGTCTTATGCAAGATTTCCCCACGTTAAAAAAAAAAAAAAAAAATATTAAAGGTAAGTAAAGGTAAGTTTACAAAATTAATTCCATTTCTTTGAAAACTTGGTACATTTTTTTACCGCCAGAGGGCGCTGATTCGACGTCGAAAATTTAGTTCGCATTTTTCCCGCTAGAGGGCCAAAACTTGTGCAAGCTTTAGTTCCTTTTTCTGTCACCAGAGGGCGCTGATTCGACGTCGTAAATTTAGTTCGCATTTTTCCCGCTAGAGGGCCAAAACTTGTGCAAGCTTTAGTTCCTTTTTCTGTCACCAGGGGGCGCTGATTCGACGTCGAAAATTTAGTTCACATTTTTCCCGCTAGAGGGCCAAAATTTTTGAAAAATTTAGTCTATGCAAGATTTCCCCACATTAAAAAAAAAATCTTTTGGCGAAAAAAGGGACTAAAGTACAAATAAATATAGCGTAAGGGATGCAATGATGTAAGGGATGCAGGGATTTAAAGGCTGCGGGGATGTACGGGATGAGGAGATATAAAGAAAGCAGGGATATGGGGAATGCAGAGATGTCAGGAATGCTGTGATATGAAGAAAGCAGGGATGTAACGAATGCTAAGATATAAGGGATGCAGGGATGTCAGAGTAATAGAAAGGATACGGGGATATAAAGGGATGTAAAGGGTGCAGTGATGTAAGGAATGGTGGGATGTAAATAATGCAGCTTTATAAGGGTGCAGCGATGTAAAGGGTGCAGTGATGTAAGGAATGCTGGGATGTAAATAATGCAGCCTTATAAGGGTGCAGAGATGTAAAGGAATCAAGGATGTAAAGGATGTACATACACTGGAATAATAAAATCAACTCGTTCCTCCTCCTAATGAGTTTATTATAAGCTAAGAAGATAAATACAGAAAAATAAATGAACGCAGGAAATAAAATCTTATATACATTCTTTGTTACACTCTATATCCGTCGTTAGAAAGGTCTCGCTGAGACTAACTCAAAACCGTTTCGTTTGTGCGCCTAAGTGTTCGGAGTGAAAAGTTACAAAGGTTTCAATTTCTGTGTAGAAAGTCTATGGGTAGCACATTTTAGCTTTGGGATCCTTGACACCCCAATATGATATTTCGTGGGTGCGCAGAGAGAGTCGCCGGGGTCCCTGATACCCCAAGATGATATTTTGCCGGTACGCAGAGCCGCCGGGATCCTTGACACCCCAAGATGATATTTTGTAGGTGCGCAGAAAGAGTCGCCGGGGTCCCCGATACCCCAAGATGATATTTTGCCGGCGCGCAGAGTCACCGGGGTCCTTGACACCCCAAGACGATATTTTGTAGGTGCGCAGAGAGAGCCGCCGGGGTCCCCGACACCCCAAGATGATATCAGGTCGGTATACAGAGAGCACCATCGGTACATCGGGGTCCCTAACACCCCGGATGCCATAATGTCAATATACAAAGAGCATCACCCGTGCTTCGGGGTCCCTAACACCCCAAGCCATCGACCATCGCGCCATCTATATAAAAGCGGCGTAAACTATTCGTTAAGTTACCGGCTGCCGAAGGGTCGATCATCGACTATCGCAAGTTCAGTCGATAAGTCGGTAATTTGTTAAATAGTTTCCGCCGCTTTTGTATAGATGGCGCAGTGGTCGAACTTTAAAAATACTTAATTCTAGGCGCTCTTCTCAAAATACAAGTTTGTCAAATAATTATTCTAATAATTTTTCGGTCTTACAATTATTTTTAATTTTTCTATATACGAAATAAAGTAAATCTAAAATATTTACTAAATGTAAATAGTAAGATCACGTGTATTAACTGATTAAGGATTAAAATGAAAAGAATTTTGGAATGAAAGCAAAAGTTATATTTCATTTTTTTTTTTAAGTTTGCATGAAGATAAAGAATTGGATTTAATATACAGTATTATATGTATAATTGTATATGTACACAAATAGTAAATAATAAAAATAAAGAGTTAAAATGCTTTCTTATTTACCTTAATTTTAAATCTTGCTTCATAGTTTTGATCCAGTTTTAATCTTTGTTAGAAAATATATCAATTAATATATGAGCTGTCTTTTCAGCTGATACATTTAACGAATATTGTTAATCGAACAGTTATAATTACACAATGGTGAAATTAAAACATTGAAGTTCTTGTTGAACTTATACAATCGCAATTACTAGGTAAAATGAATTAATTATTATTACGACATTTAAATGTGGCATATAGAAACATCAGTGAAACTTGAATCCTGTATCTCATTAATTGATATATATTAAACTAAAATAATTTTTAACGATTGTCTGTTATAAACTGAACTGTGCTTGCACAAAGTACATTGACACTTTACAAAATATTTGTGCGGTCCTGGCAGGGTATTTTAGATCTTTTTCTTCCCTTTGAGGATTACATTTCGTGTTCTCCCACGTTTGAGCAATTTTAGAATTTCTTTAAAATCTCGGCTTCTAATAAGGGTAAATATACTCAAGTGGGTTCAATTGTATTAAAAGGAAACGTTGGGTTTCAGACATCAGAGTATATGACATAACACTACGAGATATAGGCAGAGTTTCAGAATTTTCAAATTCCAAATTTTGGCCGCTTCTAATCTTGGATATTCTCCTTAGGCTTTTTCAAAACTCACCTTGGAATTTTTCTGAGTTCCATTTACTCTTATTAGCCTTAGACAAATAGGAAACCCGTGTTGCATTCGAGTGTGTGTGGTTCTCGTATGCGTAGTAAAAAGAAGGGGGATTATGGCTACAATAGACCAAATATTAACTTATCATTAATCATTGGAATCTGTTTTGAGTATACCTTTTCAGAAACTGGTCCAAATTATCACCTCATACCGAAATCTATACTTTCATCAACAAATAGAATCGGTAAACAATTAACAAATCTGCGCAGTAATCTTTTTGTTAAAAAGTAGATTCGTACAATGCGAATATTCAACTGTGAAGTCATGTATGAATTTCTGCATTTTCTGACTTCTAGAATAAGATTGTCGTAAAATATACATCGCTGTTGTTCATTTGTGAATTACATACATACATACATACATATCATTACATGCATACGTAGAAACGTGAGTAACCCTAAATATTTCTAACGTACGAGGATGCAGAATTGTTTTCCACTGAAAATTCACAGGATTCTTTACTAGTCGATTGTGCTTCTAAAACGAAAATCACATCATCGAGAAAGTAATACGACTGGCCAAGATCACCTTCGCAAAGATAAGGCAATTTACTCCATGCAAGACATCTTAAATTTAACGGGGCGAAAACTCTGTCGACAAGACTGGCGATTTGACCTTCTAGTCCGTTCCCTTTTATCGGCAGATATTCGGATGGTTTGTGATCACCCCTTTCGCCGACCTCTACGTAAGGGCTGAACGGAAGAACCAGCGCCACGATCAAACGACCACCAGGGGCTAAGGATGACTTCAGACGTCTTAGAAGAGTATTAGGTCGGTCGCATCGGTCTAATAAATTCAAGCAAAGGATAACGTTGAACGGTCCATTTTCGTACCACTTTTCTACGTCTAGTACTCTGAAAAATAATAAATACATATTACTTTTTTTAGTGTTAAGTGAAATTATTGAGCGTACAATGACTTTATAATTCTTTAAAAAATGTTAACGAATAGAAAAGGAAACAAAACTTACGTAAATTTCCTTTTTGCTAAAGTCCATCTCATCGGTGCTGATATGTCGGTTGCATAAACTTTTTCAAAGAGATGAGCCACATGAGCAGTGGTAGCACCATCACCCGCTCCTAAGTCCACCAATGAGTGCCATGGTCCTGAAAAGCCGCTGGCATCCATCAGCTTTTTAAACTGTTCACAAGAAAAGACGTGCATAGAACCACGGCCGAGTAACCTGCAAAAGTTATTTCATTCATGCTTCATTTTTATTTTCTAATATTAATAAAATTTGACTGGAAAATTAAAGATAATAAAATATATCATAGTTGGTATTTTTTCAAAATTTAATTGCTTAATGTTACGTTTCTTGTTAAAGAATTAACAGTCACAATTATAAAGAGTAAATATGTACAGAGTATTCGGTTAGGGTGGGTATTCTATGAAGGAGTGGTAGCTAGGATGATTCTGAATAACTTATGTTTCCAATTAAAATTTTCCTAAATACAGTCTTTACTTGTTCCCCTTAAGTATTTTTATTATTCCAATATTATTTAAAGTATAAGTACCATATACAGGGTGTTAAAAAGTGTGTGGTAAAAACCAACCCTAAAAAGGGCGTGGTTTAGACAGTATTTGAAAATAGCAACGTTGATGGAAATTCTTCAAATCTCCTCCATCAAAATAAAATTTCCATTTCGTTTCTTCTACCTACGTATATGTTTCTTCTTTTAGCCTGTTTACTGTGCTATGCCTCGAACTTGTTTCCATTGTCAGTCCACACAAGCGTGGAGTTTGTAGGCAACACGTGGATCTGCTCGTTGCTGGTGAAAATAACCAAGAGGAGAAGAAAGAGCACGGATGAAAAATAAACCAAGTGTAGGGAGAAAAAGTAAAAGGAACGGGTAGATACACACACGATATACACGCATGAACCTCACAAATCAGGCCCGCGAATCGTGGAGGCTTAGTTGGCGGCGCGAGCGACAATTAATTCACCGCTTTTGCTCTCTTCTTGGATCCCATTGTGTGTACGTATTCGCCCCATACCCTCCAGCCGGGGACCCAATGTTTCTCCCTTTAGAACTGTTCAGGACTATCGGTGCTTCCAATGTCGCCCTGTTTATCAAGCGATTCCGATCACTCTTTGCCTTTTTTGCCATCCTCGACTACGTCGGGGGCCCCTTTCTTTGAGACTCACGTTTTTAATTTGAAACCTGGCGCAACGCAGTCTAGAGAACTCCCTACCCAGACGTTTGTTCACCTTCGATGTGATCTAATTTCCTGTGTCTTCAAAAGAGTTCAGTGTGCTCGTTTGTGTACTCCCCCTGCAAATTATTATCGGTTTCTTCATTTTGTTGCTAACGATTTAAGAATATCCAATTTTCCATCCATAGATTGTAATAACATTTCAAAGAACCTTTCCCCTCGTGCGGAAAGGTACCCTTTTTTGGCTCTAACTGCGATAGGAGGGAAATTATCTTTGGAAAAAAAGAACTTAACACTTCGTTGTACATATGTAAATTTTCCTGACAACACTGATTCATTCACATTATCAGTTTCTATCGGTGGGGACCTCTTGTGGGAACTCGTAAAACACCTTGAAGGGTGAGCACGTAGTGTTAAAGAAACGCTTGGAAGACCATTTACCTAATAATAGCAATAATATGTAAATGCATGCGTATCAAGCCGCCATCTAAAAAATTCAACCCGCTTCGAGCCTATTGTTTGCAAATCCTCGTTTCAGCCGTGTGTTCTCTGCTGGATTGCTACGAAGCTCTCGATGCATCCATTTTCTTCTTTCTTTTCTCTTCGGTTCTTTCTTTAATTTGCTTTTCTTCTTCGATCCTGGACGCGCAAATAATTGAATATATTTATAACAATTTAAAAACATCTTTAACAACGTTAAATGGATTCCATCTCATCTTCGTTTCTCTGATCAATTTCAATACGTTCAATTGACACATGTTATTAAATATCATTTTAAACTTCACTTTTCTACAACAGTGATCACTAATGTATTAAATACTCAATGTAACTTACGTGGGAGGTTCTAAAAAAAAAACTTGTGCATCATTTTAATTCATAATATGGTGGAGGAGACTGTTCCGCCTAGTAGCTGAGATAGCCGTGTTTGATTTTAATGAACGGTTTCCCGGTCAAACCCATCTACACGCCGAGATGTGGAGGTGTTTCGCCTGGTAGCTGGCAGGATGACGTAGTCGAGAAGAGGTTAATCACCCGCGTTGGATTTTAATAAACGGTTCGGGGGGCAAACAAAGCTGGTCATCAATAACCATCCCCCTCGCCTCTCCCTCTTCACTCTTACACTCGCATTTCGTTTCCTTCTCTTTCTACCAGTTGAGGGAGGCACACCTTAGGAACCGACCAGGCAACGGCATGACCATACCAAAGCCTTTGCCAACAAGTTGTCGAGCTTCATCGGATAGCCAGATAGGCGGAGATCGTGTCTGTATGGTTATTAATTAACCGGCGAGCAGGGAAAGCCTCCTTTCATCACCTCACAAACAATCTCCTTCGACCTTACCTTATACCGCGGGGATAGAAGCAGGCGAGTAACGAAGATATAAGGTAGGGGGGGTTGAAAAAGTATCCTTCCGAAAACAAACGTTTCTTGTCGCAAGAAAATGGTGATTAAGATTTTTATTATCATACCAAAACCGAAGGTAAGGGAGACGTTCAACTTTGAAGCAGATGTTGAGAGAACCTCAAATGTCTTTCTTCTTATTTTTCTCAATATGTATGAACTTAATGTATCGAGATTGAGATACTTGATTGGAAAGGTAATCACGACCACAAGAACGTTTAGTAATACATGCTGTGTGGTATTCACCCATTTATGGAGGTGCGGCTGATGAACCAGGACAAAGCCGATCGCGCCAAAGAATGCCACGCTTGCAGTGGTAAAGAGTCCGATCTCTCAATGGATTTCGTTAAAAAGACCTCGGCGGTTTGGTCAGGCTGATCGTGTTGAGGTCCTGCTCCTAGGGGAATCCATAAATGAAGTAAATCCTCTCGTATTTTTGTTGTATCGATTTTGTACCACTGTAACAACAAGCAGAATCTCAATGAACATTGTCACGTACAATATATTTCATTTGAATAGGTGAGATTTAGACAAATGATTAGGAATGTTGGAGAATGAAATTGTAATCCGTTATTGTGGAAAATTTCGATTATATTTATAAGCCAACCCGTATCTAAGATTGAAAATCTTGATAGCACTTAGACTTTCTGTCACTTTTGTACAAGCCCAGGTAAGAGTTATCGAAAAAATTCTTGCGCCGTTGTGTTTAGTGGGTCAAAATCATAACGAATCTCGCTCTAGTTCACTGTAGCTTGTTACATCTTCTAATTTTGACAAACAATTTAGGCCACTGGTTTACCTATTGGGTTCCATAAACTCGGTATTGATTAGAATTCTTCCAAGAGCGATCGGTATCGAAAACTGATATCGAATATCCAACAGAAGCTTCTATGCCTTTCGATATCTCCCATTGAGTACTCAACTATCGAATTGTTCGGGCATTATCGGTATGCAACGTATCGGTCCCATCGCTACTCGCCAATGTTACAGCGAAGAAAAAGTTGCTTGGCGCATTTCAATCACAATGTACAATAAAAATCTTTCAGAATGTTAATATAGTAGCGGATCGAATCGTATGAGCTTGGTACCTATATCGGCAAACATTTTCAATTTCGCAGGCAATCAGTGACTGCTGGTTTCACAAATTTCGCGGTGAGTTAATGCGCCAGAATAATCGTCTTTCCTCTTGCGATTCATTAACATCCCGCAAGGTGTCCGGCAAAAAATGTTTCTCGCTTCATTATCGAAGGCGCGTATCGCGACATTAACGATATTCCGCCGAAGCAGAAGCGGTTTCGGCGTGGAACCGCAAAACAGTCGGAGAAGCAATTACGTTGACCGGTTCAACAGCGGTCCACCGACCGGTACACGACAGATATCTGATTTCACCGTCAGCTTCTGAGAATGAGAACCAATTACGCAGCGCAGGGCATTAAGGAATCGATCTAATTTGCGCGCGGTGGTGGCTCTTAATGGCGAGAGCCGACCGATGAAATTATACGAAAATGTAATCAACGCGCTTTTTGTCTCCATTTCGCTTCCAAGGGCACCGGTGTAATTAGGAATGCTTTTGCGCCTCGCGACGGGGGACACTTGTTGCGCCTCTCTCCCCCTTACCTCCCTCGACCCCTTTCTCCGTTCCCTTTCAGCCCTTTATTCCGTTGCCCGCACTTCTTTCAGACTTGCAAGTTAACAGAGCTTTAAAAAAAAGACGAAGAACGAGGAAGAAAAAGAAGGGACCAGAGATGGGAAGGATCCCGACCACAGAAGAAGAGTAATTAACGCCGCAATGCTCAGGTGCGGGGTATTAAGAAGTCGTTTATAGATTGCACAGCAGCCGCGCGGTACGCGGCCATCAATTTGATTCTCTAATTAAAACAGTACTTTCTTCCGCCCAGCAAATTAACCACCGGGGACTCTCTGTTACATTCTACTGGACCATACGTCATGGTCGAATGTACTGGTTCCCCCTGATCAATTTTTAAATCGCCTCGAAAATGATACAATGTTTCAAAAGATTGCCCGCCGACCGAGGATTAATACTTATATTTTAATCCTTAAATTAGGACTACAGAAGTGGGAAAAATATTGCGAACTATAGAAGTGGGAATAGGTTGCAAATCCGGGTACATGTGTGCAGGATGAGTTATCGAAAGATAATCGATGCGAATTTCAATTCATACCCTGTTACGTAATCGACAGATGCGTAAGCCAATTTTAATTCGATTAGTAACTGAAGATGAAAAGCAGATCTTACATGATAAAATTTCACGTAAACGCAGATGGTTAATAAATGGTTGAAGTGAAGAATATTAATCTTGCCTTATCCCTTACCTTAAATTCTGTCTTTTATACACAAAGACATTCCTTTTCGCCAAATTTATGCCATGACGAGCACAAGCACTTCACCAGTAGACTACAGTATATTTTCTATTTTATTTTTAGTTAATCCATCCATTAGGGGTGGACGGGCGGTTAAGAGTAGCCTGTACAAGCGGACGTACGAATTTACGCGCGCATAACACTGATATACTATTTTCAACTTTTTCACGGACGCAAAGGCGTGATCGACCATGCATAAAATGGCTGGAAGAGCATGTCCCCTTCTGTTAGATACGTCTCTTGGGACTTACGTGGTGCCCACGAGCAATATTTCGAGAACGAGCCGATAACGATCTGTGTTCGTCCTGCAGCTTCGTTATCCGATCCGTATAATCGCGTAAAATAACTTACAAATTACGATGTGTGCGGCTCGGACGTTTCATCGTCCTCTTTCGTACCTTTTTTTCAACGAGCTTTCCAGCATTTTCCACGCTTTTATAACAGCTTTCTATTCGTTCATCGATCGCTTGCGTTCGCGCTAAGGACTATCGTCTTCTTCGTACGATAGCGTTTTTCTTTTCCCCATTGACAGACCAAGAGTTGTTAATATTTTTTACAAATAGACACCGCATATCACGCTGCCTTTGTTGTAACCACCGTGGGTACAGGATACGCATACTTAGGCGTAGAAAATATTCTCTCTACATTCGCTGATATACGTTCTTGCAAAAGATAACATTTTTCGCCTGGTAATCTCGTTTATACTAAGTCCGCTTCGAGCATCACTCGTTACTTCCCCGGGGAATCTCTTTTTTATCCGTGTACTAAGACGACGCTTAACAAATACAAGTTGTACAAAGTTATACGCTGATTTTGAAATATTTATTCTGCGTACACTTGCGTACACAGCGTCGCTGTAAATCTTCAACCAAAGGGGCCCTCAATGTTTGATATCTCCTGGGCACTCGTAATCTTAAGTCGGTTCTAATGAATAGATTGCTTTCTAAATGCAAAGCTGAGTCAAAAATTAAGGTTTCCTCAATTTTTTAGAAACGTTATATGTTAGGGGAATCTGTTTAGTGATCAAGGTGCGATCAAGGAAGAAATATGCAGTATCTTATTTCTATATTAGCAAGATTACTTCACGATACAATCATTCTGATGCATCCTATGAGTGTGCACTATGAAATGCGAACCAACCATAGCACCGTTTCGATATTAATAGAATACTACTTGTTCGAAGTTGCGGAACGGCATCCTCCGTGGGAACAATATTCAAATTCATGAAACTTATATTTACCGAAATCGAACGCAACAACATGGAGTAATTATAAATAGAGGAGGCTTTTAATTTATGTATATAAAGTTGAAACATGAGAAATACTTGAAGCAGATTTGAAGATGTTCAGAAATATCGAAGATGTAATTACGGTGTAATTACCGAGGATAGTCTTGAGTGGCATCGTTCAAGAAAAGAGGGACTAGTTAGTGGTTGGCCTTGTACAGTAATTGTACTAATTATTATTGCTCGTTCCTCCTTCCCTCTTCTACGACTATTTTCTCCCCCAGACCTAACCCAATTACCCCTCTGGCTTCGTGTAGCATTTGTAATTTCCTAGGATCGGGCTAGGTTTTTGTTTCTTAAAAATTAATTTCTTCCATCATATATTTAAAAATTAAAATCGACATCGAATGGAACACGTGACAACGAAACGCGCTCACAAATTTTATTATCTTATCTTCAGCTTTTCTGTTCAATCAATTATCGGGCTAATAATCACGAGTTTTTGTTAAATATTAGAAAGTTCATGGATTTTTATATTTGAAATTTTATTCCTACAATATTTCGTAAATTCCTTTTTATAAGTTGAAATGTAATTTTAACGTTACACGAAAGCGACGTAAAGTATATACGTTCCTGAGATTACTCGAGTAACCTCGAACGATGACACAGAAAACGGAATAACGTGGGGCTTGTGTAGGTATACCAGAGGAGAAAAGTAACCTATATCGGATACGATGTAACTTAACTGCTCTTACCTGCGTTCTGTCATACGCTTCGAGCTGTTCGTCTGCTTTTTGCTTTTCGTAAAGCACTCTGGCAAGTCCCCCGTGTGGTTTGTAACTTCTTACGATTCTAGTGGTGGGTGAATCCTGGTTAATAACAGAACAGGTAGCCAAATTCCTGACGTTGCAGGTGCATCTTGGAACGGACGCATCTGTACCCGCCATGCCCACGAGGAGCACGTTAATGACTGTCAATCTCTGTGCACGCATGCCATGATAATACTTGGCACCGTAATCTTGTAACTGGCACTTTGAAATATGGACAAGGAAAGTACGAAAAGATGACGCAGTTCGCGTAAACACGTCTAGCACGTGGCCATGTTGGCGATGGTAGTGACGTCTAGAGTTTCATTTACGTAAGTCCGTTTCACGTGGAATAGCTACGGTCGATGATGTAGAACATACCGTAGGAAAACCATAGGTTCCTCTATTTAATCAACCCTTAGCTACTAAGGGTGACTATAATTCTTAGTCGTGACACAGTCATTTGACACTAGGGGTAAGTGCAGTTGTCCTAAATGAAACTTTTGTACTTTAGACCATGCATAAGATCAGGAAATTTTGCATAAGACCCCAGCCGCCACTGGGGGATGGCAGCGGGGGATTTTCAGATTCCCACTGACTAAAACCCTACGATGATCGGCACTGTCGCTAAAAAAGGGTTCCGTGATCTTATATGTATTACTCCGGAGTCCTCCACCCCTGGCACACAGGTGCCCATCTTGGAGACGACCCAAACTGGGACCTCTCTTTGGTATCTACCCTGTGGCCGATACCGGGTGTCGCACCCTACGCCGGTCTCTCCTTAGGACATGTGCAAGAATGTTCGAAGTCCTTACTCCTGGTCCCAGCGGCCCTAATTACCTCACCGGTTTTGGCGATGAAACCATCATACCTAGTGTTAAGGAGAGGGCTGGACCACACTCACCTTGTTGCTCTTCTTCGCTCTGTCCGTATTGGGGGTGGCGGTCCTGGCATGTAACACCTTCAGTCTGAGGCGACTACACATCCAACGAGACTGGACATATCTTTATTGCTGAAATATGGTAACTCTGAGATCGAGACATTGACTGAGTGATGGGGTTGATATCAAAGCAATCTGCTGTTACCGTCAACGTGCGTTAGACTGTTGCAGCGCGAAGTGTTTCACATTTTTATACTAGGATAGAACAGATGGCGCTCGTTTTCAAAGTACAAATTCACGACCCCTTGAAAACTATGGCATGTCCAGTTTTTTTGAATCCGTATACTCACTCACTCATTAGATTTCCCTTGGTTTTACAAGGGTGGCGTTTTCTAGGAACTTTACATGTGTCCCTTTTTGCCCACCGAAAAGTTATCAGCCACGCGCCTTTTTCAAGTTACATTATTCCTTTCCTCGCATTACATTTCTCATTTCGTCAGGTACATTTTCTTTCTTACGTTTTTGCATTACTTTTAGTCATACTGTCTTACTCGTTCCTTTACATCCCCCTTTTAGTCGCCTCTTACGACAGGCAGGGGTTACCGTGGCCGTATTCTAGTCCCCCCGAGCCACAGAGGGTTGGATCCGTATACACTGTTACAAGAGAAACGTTTTCAGAAAAAACTGCAAGAAGGCAGAGTCACTGGCGCGAAATTCAAGTTTGGAAGGGATAAGCCATAAGGTGTTCTTTTCGAAATAACGAATTATCATATAAAACTACCATTAAAACTCGGAAATAGAGACATATTTTCAAGACATTACTAATAACACCTCTTCGTTCGTGCATCTCTTCTGATCAACTATCTCCATTTTATCTTACATAGCTTTTACCACTTCCATCGCTCACCTTGACATACCGCATTCGTTAAAGATGTGATACCCGGGAGGTCAAGGTGAGCTAAACTCCTCCGCGAGAACTGATAATTTATTAATTTATGATAAGCCTGCCTCTCTTCTACGATCTACATCCTTCTCTCCTCACCCCATTAATCATTTTCGTCGCTGACATTAATTGCATGCCACCCCTCGTTACTGAAAGCAAGGAGATTTTTTTAATTGGCGAATTTTTCACCATCGCTGACACTGAGAGACCCCTCTCCTTGAATTTTCGTAACAACGTTCCATGGAAAAAGAATGATGTGCTTTATGCGGAAGATAATATATGAAATTCTTATTATCAAATGATTGCAAAAATTAAAAATCTGAACAATTCTTTCTACAAGAGAAACTTACAGAACAGACGCGAAGGATTTATTTTCACCGTGATCGATATTATCCTGATTTGACCGAAGACCGGTGTTTAAGATAATAAGGAAATTTTTTCAAAGGAAGGTAATTAAGGTTTCCTGGAATGGGAAACATTAATTAGCCAGACGAAGGTGCAAACCATTGTTAACGAAAGTCGTATGTACGCACATATACACGTCGATGAATTATCGTACCTGTAATTATATAGCTGAAACCCATAGTTTGTGTATGTACAATCATGCTATCGAGCGATATTCTAAAAGCGGTAAAACGGGTTAAATTCCTTACAAGCTTCGAGAAATAATTTAACCTGGGATAATTGCTGAAACGATAATTTGATGCTAACTTACATCGGAGAACGTACGTTTATCTAAATAAAGATGCTTTCTTATTTTGCGCATACAACTTATTACTTAGACTTATGCCTTTCGGTAATCTGTAAAAGGATTACTACCTCATATAATTGATTAGTTCACTATTAAAATGCAGGCGAATCATTAGTTTGAATATTTTAGGTAGGCAATACCTAAAATCAAGTTCGAGGGTAGGTCCGACTGTCTAATTAGGCAGGGAAATATCGAAAGGAGATTCGCACACTGGTCCCTACTTTCTTTCTTTCTTCTTCTTATCCCTTGTACGAATAATTACTAAATACATTAATGTCGATACCGCGGAATAACCACGAATAAGTTATCGAAAAGGTGAAGTCGCTGTTAATAGTGGTAGTAAGGACTCACGCGTGAAATGATGCGTTCTCTGTGTGTGGTAAGATGCGTAACACAGGAAGCCTACGCATCTTACATGCCCCAAGGCTTCCAAAGTCGAAAGTCCGCTGCTTCTGTCATACAAGCGTGCATGTGGTTGGATACGGCACGCGCGCACCTTGGGTGCGTGTATGCGTGAAAAAAAACTGAATTCTTGGATGCGGTTTATTTCAGGCGCCCGTTTCTTCTGTAAAATTAAATATTGCAGTAAATTTATTATTTTTATTTTTCACGAAGTTCCTGACAGAATCGTTCGTATAATAAATTTTTAATAACTGTTTTTGAAAGAGTTTTGATCCGCAGCATAAAGCAACGAGGCGCTAACCAATGGCCAGCAGATGCACTCTTCGGGGACGAAGAGATCAGGGTCGTTAACACTGGCGGGTACATCGACGTCAGACGAGAGTCGGCACCTTCTTTTTTCGATTCTACATACATACCAACGGATATACACATTGATTTCATTTTTGCGTTTGTGCCGGGTAATAATGCTAATTTGGTAAGTAGAAATGGGCATCAGCGGGCGGTCGAGCAGAGGCTGGAACACACGGTAGCACGAGCAGCAGTAATGCCTTGTTTTTGTTTTCTCTTCTCTCCTCGGTTTACTTTCTTCTCTTTCATTCTCCACCTTCTCGATCCGCCACCACCAACTTCCACCACCCCTTTTTGCCCCCGTCCTCCTTCATCGCCGTCACCTCGGCATTCTTCGTCAGACAAGCCGCCAACTACGGCGACAGGCGACATAATGACGGCCAGACCTCAAACCTCAAACTCTCCTAACTGAATCATGAATCCTGTGATCGTCCGCACCCGGTTGGCTGACTTGCAGCGGCGCATCTTCTCGATTTACCTCACGGTAGACCCTCTCATGAAGGAACTTCGGCTTGTTTTCATTTTTTTTCCCTTTCGGCAACTTTCGGAACCAATGTTTCTGTCGTATTGAATTGCAAACGCCCGCTGAACGGAGTTTCGCCACGACCGAACTTTTTAACACGCATTCAAATTTTCCACTGAGAAATTTAGATTCAGACGTACAGAGATTTAGATTTCTTTATTTATTTATCGAATTTACGATAAAAAAAAACCAATAAGCCATGAATTGAAACTGTAAGGACAAAAGAGCGAAACAGGATGAGGAGGAATGAATAGAGAAAAGGAAGACGAAGCAGAATCAACGAAGATCCCACGTGTCGATGAGAGGGGACAAATATAATGATGGCTGGCAACGAAGGGAGTATACTATCGATGGATATCGAGTAGGCTAGTTTAATAGTGGGCTTCCTTTGGTTAAGGGTAAGTGTAGGGGGGACTACCTCCCACCGCTCATTTAACTTACTCCTGTTCAGTACCAAACACGGTAGGCTTCCCTAAGGAAAATGGCGATGCAGGGGAAGTAGGCCCCACCACTCGTCTTAACACGTTCGCTGCTGGCTGATGACCGTGAACATTTACTCTGGAAATGAAATAAAAAGTAAATTAATAATAGGATTTATAATATAAGAAGATCGCCATCGATTCCACGGCAATCCTATTAATGACCATCGAGTTCAATTTGAAGATGTGACACTCAATTTGGATAACCCTATATAAGGAGAGGAATCTAAGTGAATCAGTGGAGCGGTGGGAGTCTCCTTCCTCTACTCTTCTCCTGAACCAGGGGAAGCCTACTCAACACACGTGTGTACGTGAGATAATAAGGCGTGCTCGGGCATGCCGATGGAAACCGCACGCGGCATTATTCAAATTGAATCCGGTAAGAATTATTATTGGCGGGTAAGTCGGGCCGGGCTCGCTCATTCCGCAGGCGCATTTGCGAATACAAGGAGGAAAGGAGGAGTTATAGAAGTGAGGCAAACGTAGAGAAGAAGGTAGAAGAATCGGAGGTGCAGGAAGGAAGACAGAAAGAAATGGTGATAGTGGTGCTGGAGGTAGTTCAGAGAGTAGGAAGGGAACTACCTCGCCATCACGACCTCCGTTGCAGTATCGCCCGATGACCCTGATGTCATTACCCCTCACTTTGGACGTCATTACGCTAATGTCCCATCTCTTTTTCTTCTTCTTCTTCTTCATCTTCAGCCTTGGTACTTTTCGTTTCTTCATTGGTCACCACACCTCCCTCTGAGGATACTTGACACGATTCGAGTTCCCATCCTTAAGTAGTCGATGCCTCTGCTGTTTCCAATGTTTCTTCAACCACCCTGCTTGCTACTTAACTTTTCTTATCAGATAATAATCATTATCATCTTATTCTATTATACGACATGTACATTATGTTCTGATGTTGGATGGAATTGTTTGATACTGTTTGATCTGCTAATAAAATAATTTTAATCAAATACCTTAAGCTTTTAATTATTACAACATCCTGTT